TGAAAGGTAGGTGTTTATTTTCCAGTATATTTGAAGTAATTCTTTCGTTGGCTGACTGTGCGGTTGATTCATTTGCTGAACAACGGACTATTAAGGTTTAACATGTCGTAATTCACACGGAACAATTCTTTGTCATCATCGTTATATCAGTCACAGGACCTCCACTGATGAACACAGGCCCTATGACTTCCATATAGGCAGGTAGGTAAGAAACGAGCTGCATCCAGCGGCTCTCTGCAACCTTTAACCCACAAATTACTATCCCGAATCTCAATAAGTAATCATAATATCAATAAGTAATAACAGTAGAATACAGATCCTCAAATATTGCAACTCCAGCGACAAAGAGCACCTCAAAGAGCCATCAGACCACCAAAGATGAGGCCCAGTAGGGTTGATGCCCGATACGGATCTGCGGAAGACTTAACGGGTACTTCTGCTCTTTGAACTGGAGACCCGACACTCCAGTTCAAAGAGCAGAAGTAGGAACGGGGTGGTTTTTAGTTAATAAGAGAGGGAGAGAGAGAGAGAGGGAAGCAAATTGGATCATATCTACCCTTAAAAAAAGTGAAAGCACAATTAGGCTAGGTAGGTATAAATAGTTTAGTAGTAACTTGTATTTCTGTCAAGTCCCCGCTCCACTATTTCGATTAAAAACGGCGACAAGTAACTATGATGTTCTGTATAGGAGGAGACAGTATTTGAATATGACATGCGTAGGTTAACCTAACAAAAAGAAGTTAATATACAGAGAACCCCGGTACAGAATCTGATAATCTTTAGCACAGCGAACCATGGCTATGATACCTTCCAATCAGAAGTAGTATTATCCGTGGCGGACGTAACTTGGCCACCCATATATCGAAGTACAGTTCAGATACAGAACCTAACCTAACAAAACATGTTGATAGATAGAACCCCGGTTCATCAGATTCTGAACCGGGAACCCCGTAGAGCTATGGCACAGTGATACCTGACAGACAAAAGTACCTACTTTGATCCGTGGCCGAGCTGAGTGCGTCTCTCATACATTTTAAGAATCCAGGGTAGAATTTGATGAGTTTAATAATGGCTGCGATAGCTTTCAACCAGAAGTAGTCTGACCCGTGGCGGAGATGGGTATATTTTGCCCACTGTCCTTTAATGGTATTTAATCATTATGTTTACAAAAGGCACATACTGTCTTTTTACCAGGCCTGTCTTCTTCACGCCGGTGGTAGAGGCAGTTCCACTGAATCTTGAGAGTGAAGACAGAGGTAGCTTATTTGTAGCCCCTACTTAAACATATAACCGTATACGTTTGCTGAAGGATTAGCAAGTTAATATGGCAGTAGTGGTTGGTCACATTTTTTGGAGAAACGGTTATTGTTCGAGAGTAAAGTTCGAGCGGACTCGTCTAGGCGAGGTATTGTAAAGAGCACTTTAAAGATATACTCACCTCGACTTAGCTGAAGAGCACTTCAGCTAAGTCGAGGTAAGTATATCTTGCAGAGGATGAAAAAGGGTTGATGATGACGTGCATCCAGTTTTCGTTCTAGTGGGAGCATAGTAGGAGATTATGAGCAATATCAATTACAACATAGTCAATTCTAGTTTTTGGTTTGACCCCTCCTCTGAGTCCAGACAAATGAGCCCCGGAAAGCAGGTGTACGTGATGATCATTTTAATTCCAAAAAGTTTTGTAAATCCGGTTAGTCGCAATAATGCTATCGACCGAGGGGAGCAAAGTTGTCCATGTTACAACTAGATGGTGTTGGTATCGAGTTAGATCGCGCTATCGTTTCGTTCATGAGTATCATGGCTACCAGCCGACTGTTCTCTGTCAATCAATTTGTCTTCCATTAGAATGTAAGTAGGTAGGGTGTTAGGTACCCTAAACCGCTTATTAATGATTTATATTTTTTGCATCCATTCGATAAGAATGGTTATAAACAATGAAAAAATTATCTTCAAGTCTTCTGTTAAGTTTCTCAGTTTAAAAGTTTCAGGTTTAGTTAAACAAAAAGTTAATCAGATTTCCTTTATAAATCGTTGGTTAAGTGGACGTACGTTTGACTGCTAAGCAGCAGGTTCAATTTCTCGGTCAGGCCAGCGTTGTTGGGTTATTTATTTAGTTTTTGAAATACTTCTCAACTTATTAACAGAGCCTGGGACAACAGATGGCTCTTGTTACATAGGTCATAGAATATGAACAGTTGTTACATTTTAATACGTGTCTTTCTGCCTATACCTTTGGGGATTAAAAGGCCAGACGTCATTATGTTTATGTTTTGTTTTCAATAATATCATGTATCTCGGAATATTGAACGACCACTAAAACTATGCTTCATTGGACTTCAGCCAACCATGAACGGTAGGCATTATTTTGATCTTATGTTTTGTTATTGTATCACGTATATTGGACAAGGTCAAACCCTTGACCTTGACCTTAATTTGTACATTGCGTCAGGATTAAGCATAGTATATATAATACATGTGTCACCAACCTCTCTCGTCATGCGGGTTTCGTGTTAGCCAATTAAGGAGTACACATTTATGAGACCGAACAGCAGTGTTCTCTGGTTATCCTGAACCTTCTAATCTATGATCTCTAATCCATCCGCCAACTGTGGAGATTATGATAAACATCTTTTATGCATCTATCTTATTGTGCCCGGTGTAAGGCAAAAGGTTCACCCCCCTATTACATGGGAAACATAACATAAATAGTGAAAGTGAGTGTTACATTGTACAGTGGCATTAAGTGCCGTAATGTGTACCTCTGCCAACCCCTTCGGGGATAAAAGGTGTGATGTTATGATGTTGTTGTCTCTTATGCAGATTAGGCATGGTCAGAGTAGTGGACGGTCACGGGCTATTGATGTTGATATAAACTTTAGAATAATATTTTGTACCTCTTATGAAAAGGAGGTAAAGCTATATCCTAATATAGCTTTAGAATTTCGGCAAAAATTCGTTTAGAAGATGTTTAAACTCGTCGTCCTAAATATTGTATTACGAATAATCGATTAGATTAATAATATATTAAAAGTGTGTTATGTGTTTACTTCAAACCATCAAGTAACTCGACGACGACGAATTTTCTTAATTTTAATTATTTTTTACAACATGTGACAAAGAAATTTCGAATCAGAACTTTTGACGTTCATCAATATCAATTTACTTTTGAAAACAAATGAACGCACATTCAGACCGATTAATTTCTTGAATTGACGTTCCAAATCTTTCTCTTTCATTTGATTTTAGAAATACTACTTCTTAAGGAGATACACTTTCTAAATACAATTACAATTGATCGTAAATCTAACTCATAACGAGTGTTCAAACGTTTCAATTATAGAGTACGGTACCAAAAACTTAGGTCACAATTAGTTCCAAACCTTGCCGCCTCTCCCTAATGGCGCTGCGGAGCCCTAAAAATAAATAAAGGGGAGACTGAGTAAAGTTTCCTTTTTCGTAACTAGGTGGTGTTGGGATCGAATTAGATCGCGCTATGGTTTCGTTACACGCGTTTCATGACCCCCGAGGCGAGCGAGCTCAGACATCACGCAACCTGTAGCCTCCTATACTCTGATCTTTCAAAATTGTATCATCCACTTAGGAGATACAATTTATATTTTTGAAAACTGTTCACCGCTGAACAGTTAAGAAAAACTTAAAACTGATACTGAATGTATCTATGAACCTCGTTTTAGTGGTCGTAATGACTGTTTTTCGATGTATTGTCCTAAGAATCGGGTCGGTCAAAGTGTTACTTTAGGCGATTTGATTTTGTATACATTTAATATTTTTATTTCATTTATGAATGTATGGTAGATTTCAAATAAAATATTAATATTATGGTATATATCAAAATGTCTAACTGGGTTACTGTTAGTTAAACTATTTAATAAAATGACGATTTTTTTGTACGAAATGTGTCAATATATACGTGTCAGTTTAGCTAAAATACACTTAGAGGAGAAGCGTAGATATTATACATAACAATTATTTTTAATGAGCAATGCATATCTACTACCATTACGAATTGCATTTCTGGGTAACAGTTCCTTCATAAGTCCACGAGATGTGTTTGTTTTCAATTAAAATTTTGCGATAATGACGTCAAAACCGTAGTTTGACTGAGATATTAACTGATCTTAATGAACGTATCCAATTATTATTCATTTTACTATTATATTGTTAAATTGGTTTATTTTTTAATGATCATCAGTCGATGAGATAAGACAAACACACGTAGGGAGTTTTTGAATGGATTTTTTTAAGTAATTTAGTAATAACATGGAGTCTCGTGCTAAGTCGAATCTTACCAAAACACACGTAACTTAGCATAATAACTCCATATCTTTAGAAATGCCATAAGTAATACCTTCTAAAAGAGACCCTTAGATTATAAGATTGGGTTTAAATCACAACGTCTCAAGGATAACGATATCATTCACAAAAGCTCCACTCAATCAATGCTACACCTGAACCAAAACAGGTCCAGACTATTATGTACGTTCTTGAAAACGTGAGACGAAAAAAGAACCAGATGTTTTGTAGATTAAAAAAAACACCTTTTATTATAGTTATCTCTAATTATTTAGATAGAGTATGTAAGACGTCGTGGTGGCCCGGAGGTTTAAGACGCTTGCTTCTCATGTATGAGAGTGCGGGTTTAAAGCCTACCACCGGCAAGTACCAATGTGACTCGCCAACCCGCATTGAGCAAGCGTGGTGATTAATGCTCAAACCTTCTCCGTGTGAGAAGAGGCTTTGCTCAACAGTGGGTATTTATATTAGTAAAAGTATAGGTCTATATTCTATACTTTACAGGAAATTCTAGTTTGAGATGTCAATATGATTGTAATTGTATGTATTGTATGAGAATCAACGAAATGAAAGAAAGGTCCTATAATTTTCACTGTTCCATTAAACGGACGCGACGGACTCAATTTAGGTCATGTTCGTATTACAAGATTACTCAGTACTTATTTAATTTAATTCTTTGTGTACAGGCAGCAGAGAGTGGCAATGTGGAGGACTTTATGCGCCTGTACCTGAGCGAGCCATCGCGGCTGGCAGTAAGGGACGGTCGTGGCCGCACCGCAGCGCATCAAGCAGCAGCTAGAAACAATACCAACATATTGCACTTTATCAATAACTACGGGGGAGGTAAGTACTGAATTCTAGACACATTTACCAACACTATAGTAAATTCAGATAAATTGTGTATATAAAACAAATATGGTAACCGTCAGGTGAAGTAACCAACGACTACATTCAAGCATCGCAAGGAGCCCATAATCATAAGCAGCATTACGCAACAAACAACACTAATGACATTTATGATGGTTTAACAATAATAATTTATATCTCACAATAGTTATAATACAAAAATTTAAATAAATATAGATTGATACTCTATTTTATTGGCTCAACTAGATTGAGGAAACTGCGCGAACCCTGATGAAAAAAGTCCGGAAGAAATAGTTCTACCCACACACAATGACAGCATACGGTGTATGCTATACACCCGAATTCGTAATACATGTCTGCAAATTACACAGTCGACGAAATTAAAACCGCAAGCACCCTAACTGGTCTACAAATTACACAGGCATTGCAATCATAATTGTGCAAAAGTATGCACGCATAGGTGCACCTTTTGTTCCCAATAGTAGGCAGGTCCGACAGATGGTATTCAGACTCGATATAGTCCTAATAACTTTACAATAATGGTCTTTAAGACAAGGGATTTAAATATTGCCAAAATGGTGTCCAAAATAATTATCACCGCAACGTTTCTTAACTTTAAATTGTAGCTCGAGAGCGTTGCAAATGAATTAGAAGCAAAACGAGGAAATAAAAGTATTAAAAATATTAATTAGGTTCCCATGCAACACAACGTTAAACTTATTCCCTGTTGAACCTTCTTAATGAAGCTCCTAATTAATTAGCTTCAGGTATTAAATTGACTCGTAATGTCAATGAGTAACGGTCGTTGCATGTAAGCCTCAGTCTTGAGGGACGAAATAAGACGATGTCGCATCCAAATCCAGATTTCACTGCAATGGAAATCTGCAAATTATTAAAGGTGAATGAATATTATAATCTTTAGGAAAAAAAATATGATCTGGAGATTTAGGTGGTTGCAGCGCAAGTTCGTGGAAATTAATTCCTTGTGAGCCAGAGTCTTAATGTTACGATGAGATTGGTTTTTACAAAACTTGAAACTATTTTTGGTAAAAGTTGATGTTAATACTTATGTAAGTATGTTTTTTGGGACATTTATAAAAGCACTCAACTTTCCCAATCTTCTGGAGTTTTGAAACCTGCCAACTTTTGTTATATTTTATTTTTGGGAGTATTGCATAAGTACGGATCACGGTTCTTGGAAAATCGTAGTATATTCCTCTGGGCACATATTTTACATAATTTCCTTGCTTTTTAAACAAGAATATGGGATATGTTTGCCATAATATGATACAACTAAGACTAAATTTGTCATCATGGTTCTGAATATTTCAATTAAACTTTTCATCCCTGGAATCGAACCAAAAACCTTAAATACCACGTTAACAGCAATATCACAGATGACAGGCTGAATAGAGATTTTTAATTAGAAAAATATATTTGTAGGTACTTTTCACGACTAACAGACAATGGAATTCAATTGGAATTTTCTTAAAAAAGGAGCTAAGATTATTTTTACCTAGACATTTAGAAAAAAAATATAACTGAGATGATATTAAATTTCAAAAATATTGTCTGAGTTATATTTTTTTCCAAATTCCTTAAAGATTACGTTGTTTTTTTTCTATTTTCTTTGTCGCCAAAAATAGTTGTCATCAGACAACCTTTAAGTTCAATATCAATTAAAGGTCGAAAAATTAAAATAAAAACCTACACAAGTTAAATGTTTTGTCTGGATAAACCGGACCGGTGACCGTGAGCGTCGACAAAGGCGGTCGGGAGAGACCCCTGCGCCCGGCGGCAAGGCGCAGGCGCACGGCACCCTAAGCGGCTCAAATAAACCATCAGCATTTCGAAAACTTCCGCGGACGCGGTAACTTGTTGCACTAATACTTCATGTAGTTTACAACTCTATTCATAAGTCATGAGTCGATTTTGGGAATCGATTATCGACCTTACCGCTTATCTCGCATCTGTCGGTATTAGAGGTGGAAATGGATCCCATTGCTTCACTCGTCAGAACAATTCGTTGGCGTTGGGGTTTGTGGTCAGAGGAGGTGGAGGTAAGTTGTTTTAATTACTATTTGTTTTTGGTTTGGATGGTGACTGTTTTTCATGGGATTTTAAAATTGTAAAAAGATTTCAGTAATTGAAATTAGACGGATTCTGGTATGAAAATTTGGCTGTCAATTATTTATGATTATAGAGTTGTAGTAAATTTGTGAATAGTGATTTGGTTTTGTGGTTTTAGTGTTTATTAAATGCTCACTTTAAATTTTAACGAATTCTTTTGTGTTATTTTAACGAAATCATATAACATTTTTGAACTGCTAACGTTAAGAAAATAATGTATACGTTAACGTCAATTCAATGCTTCTGGGACAAAAGTTTTTCTTTTTTTCTCTACTTTTTAGTAATAATCATGAATAAACAACTCGGCGCTGTGTTCTAAATGGAGTTCATTGCTATTTGTGTATAATTTAATCTTCAAATGTCTAATGTTTTGTTTTCGATACAAAAGTGAGGTTATGTTTTGAGCGATCTTTTGTATTAGGATATAATACATCCAACTCATACACTAAATACAAAGAAATATATCTAACTATACTAAAGGTACAATAAACTGTTATGTATATACGTATATATATTATGTATATAATTATTAACTTATGTAAGTTAATAAATTACATAAATTGAACTCCAACTTTTTTGCTATCCAATATAAACTTTGGCTAACTATTACATACTTTTTAGAAATTTTATATTCATCAGAGTTGAACAATGTTTCGATTCATAATGAGAACTTTATAGGGCTTTATCCATTGTATGTAGTTGGAAATCGACTGTACTTCAAGTACGGTATCTACCTCTACTAAAAAGGAGTACATATATTTAAAAATTGGAATTAGGTATTTGAGTGTCATCATAAGGTTGTAACATTGTTTAATTACCGTGACGGTAGGTGTCATTATGATTAACATTCTACCGTTTTCATAAAGAAAAAAAGGAAACTAGAGGTTATATTATATTATCACATCGGACACTATTTCAGTACTAAAACAGAGTATGTTGTTGAAAATAAAAAAAAAAGGTAGGTATAGTTGTTTTAAACTGCCTCGTTAGTCGAGTGGTCGCAAGTGCGACTGCCGGACAAGGGATTTTAGGCTCGATTCCCGGGTTGGGCAAATTATATTGAGTTTTAAAAAAAATCTCAGTAGTAGCACGGTGTCTGGAAATGTGCCCGGTATATGGCAATAGGCTCACCTCCTATTACATGGGACTTATAACATAAATAGTGAAAAGCTGGTGTTACGTCTGTCTCCACCTCTGCCTACCTTTTCGGGGATAAACGGCGTAATGTTATGTTAAAATATTGTTATGTTTTTTAAATTAATCAGGTAGATTTTATAATCAATTTACGTAATTTTTTAACGATGGAACACGATTAATCAGGCCACACTAAAGACTCATAGTCATGAGCAGCATTATGCGACAAACTATGCCGTGAACGTCGCGCAATCAACAGAGATACAGTGGTCAGCCTATCATCATACGCCAATCCGTCAAATTTGTTCATTGTCAACGCAATAAAGCTGAAGAAGAAAGAAAACGGTAGGTTGATCAGCTGGCTACCGTACTTTTATTGTTGTCAATTAGGTATTTTTATCCGACTTCAAAAAAAGGAGGCTATCAATTCGATCATATTATTTTCAGAACTGCCCAGCTTTCATATATGTTAGTCTTTATCAGCGTCTGAATAAATTTGCCAAATTTCATAAGTGTATGCCTGTGTGTATGTACGTTTTTATGTTTGTTCTCTCATATCTCCAGAACTACAAGACCGATTTAAGATATTCTTGTTTTGTTGTAATAGGTATTATTCAACTTAGGAATACTGCAAGTTTCATCTACATCGTTTAAGTAGTTTTTGAGATAGGAAATTTTAACCAACTTTTTTAGATTTATTATTATTTTACATGGAAGACTGTTGTTCTTTTTTGGAAAAATTATTGTATAATATGATTGTACACTATTTTCTGACCGTCGTTTTAAGTAATAATAACTAAGTAAGATTAGCTGTGACGTCAACGTAAACGTTTTAGCATTTATTTTATTGGTTGTTCTTTATATTGTAACAACTCCATAATAATACGTTCCTTATCATTATTTGAGTAGCATTTATGTGGGTGTAAAATAAAATCGGAATCAATTATTAACGGCATAATTTCGAAATTACGCGATTCGAAGAAGAGATATATTTTTGATAATAAAGATGAAAATAAAGTTGTAGTCTCGCCTGTCATTGTAATATGATAAGCGACCAATATTATTCGGTTTCGAAAACAATGTTCGTTATATCAATTAATTTTGTGATTTGTTATTTTTAGATGAGCTTTTGTGGGTAAATTGTTATTAATATCTTACCAAAACATGCCCGATGTTTCTCGAATTGGCAAGCAGAGGCGTGTGTTCATGCACCGTAGCCACCCACCTTTTTTTAAGTAGGTGTTACATTGTACAGTGGCATAATGTGCACCTCTGCCTACCCCTTCGCGAATAAAAGACGTGATGTTATGTTTATTATGTCTTACGTAAGAAGTAATCTCATAGTAATGGCGTGAAATTACTGCTAAGATAACATAAAATAAGAACAACTACAATGAGTTTAACTTATCAAAGTTATCAAGAATTAGTTCACAACTCTTTAAATGTAAGTTTTCCGGTCATCAGGACTATCATTTAATAGTGAGATATATCAATTAGAATGGTTTCGTTGGTTATGTGGAAAACGATTTAGGATGAAATTCAAGTCAATGACAATGGGACACAACTTGAATATCTAATGATTTAAATGCTTACATTGCGTCTCTTCGTATTTAACGCTTTCGCAAGACGTTCTTTTATAAATTCAAAACATGGTACACGATATGCAATGCGTTTTCTGGACGTATAAGCAAATTTTCTAGAGGTGACATTTT